GAAAAAATTACTATCTGCAGGTAAATAAAAAGTGTTAAGTAGAGAATGAGATCTTCTCCCAATTTAAGTTTTTATTTTGAAAAGCCTAAAGAGTAAAAGCAACCACATCAGTCCCCTGAGTAAAGGCTTCTGTACTAAGCACTTTCTTGTGGTTCATGTTCTTTGCAGGGTGTCAGCTGATTTCAGGCCTCGCATCTGATTACTTTGGAAATAATTACACAAACAAAATAACAGACTTAAGGAAATAAATTGCAGGAGGAGATGCAGTACTTCTTTAAAGAAATTATTTATTTAAAAAAAATTGTAAAATAAAAGTAGCTGTATTTTCCACAGTATTTTCGTGCTGAAAGGTCTGATATTGATTTTAACTTCTTCTGAAATGAAATAGTGAATCACTGTTTTATAGAGCTTTTCTGGAAAAGAAACTGAAGATAGTGTGGGCTAAAAATCATATGAAGGAAACTAATGTTTTTGTACTGTACACTTTTTAGTAGTTACCGTGAGATTTGAGTCATTGGTGGCAGAAGAACCATTTCTCCTTTGTTAAACTTTGAATTTTAAGTGCCCTAACAGTGATATATCTTGAATATGAGCATCATGACTTTTGAGCCTGTAATGTATTGTAGTTTGAGGGCTGCAAAAGCAGGGATTGAAATACTTGTTTAAACAGTTTAAGAGTAATATATATAAAATAACAAAATACTCCCTTTTTTTGATTGTAAAGCTCCATATAGTCAGCTAGATAGCCTGTGTACAGACTAAGATGTGAAGGAAAAAAATGTGTGTGTGTCCTGCTTTTAAAATGTGAGGGTGGGGGGCAGGGGAAGGTACTAATTTACAGTTGTCTGTAGTTTAGTAGGTCCTGGCAATTGTTTTGACCATAACCTTAGCAAGAGCAGCTGTATTGCTTACTGCCATGTAATGGTTCATTGGCGGCCTGGGAGGGTGCTGGGATGATGAACTCTGAGTTCTGATTAGTCCTTTAATTAAAAAAGTGGGCAAAATAATCTTACTATTGGAAAAAAAAAATTAGATACGGTTTCTGTACCTTTAGTGTTAAATGCTGCTTCAGGTAACATTTTAGTACATAGCATAAGTAACGCCATGAAACAGGCGTTTTCTGTTCCCTTCTGAGTGTTTTTAGCTTAGTTTCTATGGCAATGAAACCTATGCAGAGCATCAGGCCTCTTCTTCCCCTGTCTCCAAAAATAAAATCTAAATTTACCAGCCAGTATAAGCCAAAATTAAACGGGAAGGGGGAGGCTCAAGGGTAGTTGGATTCCTACTGGTTTCAAGCAAATGGATGACTTGGCGGAGGAGAATCAGTGCCCTGTGAAGACAAGGCAGAGTTGCTACAAGACAAAACGATGTGACCACTGCTGTCTGCCCTGCCTGCATAGGCAAAATTTCCAGCTTGCTGGGGCAAGTTCTGCTGCGGTTGTGGGTTTTTATTGCTTTGGTTTGGTTTTTACCCCAGAGAGGAGCTGAAGTTACTGCCTTGAGGATAGACTAGGAGACAGGACACTTGAGCAAGAACTAAAAAAAGCTGGTTTATGTTCACAGAACAACTTGTGTTGTATTATCCTAACTGTAAACATTCAAGCTGCTTAATCCACTTCTTGTGATTTTTTTTTTTTTTTTTTTTTAATGGGGTATTCTGTAAGGAGTCATAAGTTGCTTTATTTAAGTTGCTGCATTAGGATAACCTTGATGCCTTTCAGAATTTCCAAAAGGTCTGTGTAGTAGAAGATAGGATAAGTGGAAATGCTTGGTCCATGAATATTAGTCTTACAAAATAAAGACGTTTTGAATATACTAAAGGGCAGAATGGGACTGTCTTGTATGGAGCCCTTAGGATGCAATTTTTCTGTTTCCTAATTGCAGTTGCTATAACAATTAAATGACTTGTTAACTTAGTCCTTGAAGGCAAGAAGTCTCATCTGTGTGTTCTTCTCCTATCCTCATGTTACCTACATCATTTGTAACTGTTATTACATTGCAGATAATTTGGAGAAAGATAACTTTCAAGAAAGCACGTAGAAGACAGAAAATTAATTTCCTCGGTAATGACAAAGTGGGTTTTGAGCAGTGATATGTGCTTTGAGCTGCTGTGGGTCTCTGTGTCTTCAGGATAGTCACAGCACATACTATGGCTTGGTAGGGAAAAAAACTGCGGTGGAAGACTGGAGGTAACAGACACAAACCCATTAATTAGTCTTTACCTCTTCCCCTGCTCTTAGACCAGGTTGTTGTAGTGGAGTAGTCCAGAACTACCCCTATATCCCAAATGAGGGTGTGTAGCAGCCATTAGTGTAAAAGTATGCCAGTAATGTTCTGGTATTTGTCTCACTGCTGATCAAATGACAGTTTTATTTTAAAATGGTTTTATTTTATCTGTATCTGTTGCAATACTAGATTTTTCTTGTGAATGATTGTACTTAATTTAGAACGTTTCTAGCTATCAGGCTGTTTTTCTGACCTGCTCAACCTTTTTAGAATATTTTGTCTTCTCACTTGCTTTCAAATGAATCCCTAAATATATTAGGGATTATTTTGAAGTGGTTTAGTTTTCTTTGGCCTTAACTACTCTAAATGGCTATACATATTTCTCAGGTTGCTACTTCCGGATCTCTGGTTAGCCATTAAATGACCTGATTGCTCAGTACCCAAAACCCCTCAATAACCCTTATCAGTTCCATTGAAGGTGACTTCTCCTTAATAGAATGTACTCATGCATGTATTTTGCCTATGTACTTGCATATGTCTGTGCATATATGTGTATATATATATAGTTCATATGTATAGATAAACCCTTTAATCTTTAAGCTATAGTTCTTTGAATACAGTATTTGTAGGGACTCCTGAAAAATGATGAAAAATGCTTTAGCAAGCAACTTTATCATGTTTTCTAATTTGACACATTTAAAGAGAAGAGTGTGTAGAAGCTGTATGAAAATTGCACGAAGTTGTACTGTTGCACTAACTGCTTTTGAAGCATTTTCTATACAGAAATGCTTCAACGATCTGTTCAATTTACCTGCCT